CTCCAAGGGAGTTCTGTTGGCTTCGGACAGAAACCCTCCAAGGGGGTTCTGTTGGCTTCGGACAGAAACCCTCCAAGGGGTGTTCTGTTGGGGTCTTCTGTCGCGCACTTCTTCCGTTACAACAATTAATGCCCAACGTTCTTCTCTTTTAATGCTGCGTTAAATGGACAGTTTATGGACGATTCAATGCCCAACGGACTGGTCATTGATGTCCAACGTTCAGGTCCATTAACACCCCATTTAACACACAACAAATCCTCCTATAAATAGCTGGCAGGTGCTTTGCAACACACACACGGTTTGACAACGCACAACACTTTCCTCACGTTTTCTTGAGCTAAAAACTCTTCCAGCTACTCCCAAAATTCCTTCTGTGTTCCTACTTGGTTCTCGTTCACTGGAACTCTTGTTTGTGTGCTCAAACATTAGTTCGTAGTCATCGTATCCTGGGAAACGATTGTTGCAACGCTCCTAGCACCGTGGGAGGCAACAAATACGTTTTAAGGAAATCGTGCGTAGCACGAGCTTTGGCTAATTCTGCTTCATCTCCTTTCTTGTTTTTCTCTAGTCATTTTATTTAATTAATTTATTTTAATTAATTTTCTTTATTTTCCGAAACACACCCAACATTTGCCAAGTGCAAAGTTGGCGAAAAATAAGAATAATAAAAACTGTGTGATTGAGATTTGTGCAGAGGAGAGAGATATGTACCGAACCACAAATTAGTTGCCTTAAAATGAAAGTGACAAAGTTTTTTGAGATAAAAAAAAAAGTTGGCAGAGTTCAATGGGACGGAAGGAGTATAACATATCAAGTTTACGGTAGAGATTGTATATATTTCATCAAACATTAACTTTGTTGTGTCTTAATGATGTTTTTACTTGGATTGTAATTTGTTAGTATGGTCTGGTCCTTTTAAGTCTGGTCTGATAAACGTCCGGTCTCTGTGTATTTTATAACTACAGAAATCAAGTCTGGTCCAGTTCCGTTTAAGTCTAGTCTGGTCTGTTTAAGACTGATCTGGTCTGATCTGTGTAAGACTGATCTAGTCTGGTCTGTTTAAGTATGATCTAGTCTGGTTTGATTTGGGATTGAAAACGGTCCAAGTAAAAAGATCCGATGTTACATCGACCATTTTTTGACATAATATTCTACAAACCTGCACGGATGCAAATTATAATTATTTTTCTTGGGAAACCAAATTACTTGCAAGTAATTTAATTTCACTATTTTGAGTAATTTTATTTGGGATGATTTTAAAATAATTTCACTATTCCTAGTAAACGTATCATTGAAATATAATAATGTTCTGGTTTGCATTGTGAAATCACCTTGTCCATCCAAATATAGTTGCAGTAATATACTCGTATTCAAATGGTTTTCCAGACCAATGAATAATGAAGGAGGACAATTTTCAAACTCTCTCTCCGAAGTTTCATGCATTCCTCAAAAACTTTGTGGTGTTTCCGATATCAATGGAAGATGTTACTTTGGGGCTCAAAAACCGCTTATCCTACCTCCATATATATTCTTTTCCTATTCCTTCTTCCAAATCAACTGTCGCAGGCCTTGGGCCAACAAATTTGCAGCGGTGACCATGGCTAACGTTCGAAGCTTGACGACGGCCGTGGGCCCCCTCATTCTCTTATTCTCTGTCACGCTCGCATATCTCTCCTCGTCATCTCTGGCTCTGACCACCGCTGAGGTGGAATACATCTCCCGCCGGCAGCTCCTCAGTTACGGCAACGGCGACATTTCCGACGACTTCGAACTCAAAGTGGACCCGAAGATGAAGTTCGTCAATGAGAGGCAAAAGAAAGCTTATGTGGCGTTACAAGCATTCAAAGATGCAATCTTTTCCGACCCCAAGAAGACGACGGCCAATTGGGTCGGCCCGGAAGTTTGCTCGTACAACGGCGTGTTCTGTGACCACGCGCTGGATGACCCGAAGTCGTGGGTGGTGGCTGGCATTGATCTCAACCACGCCGACATCGCCGGCCACCTCCCGGTGGAGATTGGGCTCTTGACGGACGTCGCCGTCATCCACCTGAATTCCAACCGTCTCTGCGGAATCATCCCCAAGAGCCTTGCGAAGCTTAAGCTCTTATATGAGCTTGATCTGAGCAACAACCGTTTCGTGGGTCCGTTCCCTGACGTCGTTCTTGAAGTGCCATTAAAGTTTCTTGATTTAAGGTTCAACGACTTCGAAGGGAAACTGCCGCCGGCATTGTTTGACAAGAAGAACATGGACGTGATTTTCTTGAATAACAACCGGTTTGAGTCGAACCTGCCGGAGAATTTCGGGAACTCGAGCGCCTCATTGATCGTTCTGGCCAATAACCGGTTCACCGGATGCATTCCGAGCAGCATAGGAAGAATGGCAGAGAGCTTAGAACAGATCCTGGCACTGAACAATGAGTTCTCCGGCTGTTTGCCGGAGGAAATCACATTCCTCCGGAATCTGACGGTGTTTGACGTGAGCAAGAACAAGCTGGTCGGAGATCTGCCGGCGGGATTGGAGTTCATGCAGAGTGCAGAAAGCATTGTTCTTGCTAACAATATGTTCTCTGGAATCGTTCCTGAAACGCTGTGCACCTTGCCGGAGCTCAAGAACCTCTCCTTCGCCAACAACTACTTCGAACAGGAAGACGTTTCATGTGTCCCGCCACAGGAGGGAATTGACCTTAGCGATTCTGGGAATTGTTTGGATGGAAGGCCGGGGCAGAAATCTGAGAAAGAATGTCTACGGGTTTTGAGCAAACCTGTGGATTGCAGTAAAACTGGTTGCAGAACTGCACCAAAAGGCACAGGTCCAAGATCACATAAACCACATTCCAGCCCTAAAGCAGAGTCACCAAAAGCCTCATCTTCTCCCAAGTCTTCTAGCCCCCACTCATCTCCTGGGCATGCCAAACAAAAGCCAACTCCACATCCAGAAGCTCCTGCTCCTGCTCATGAGGCTTTTACCCCATCAATATCTTTGCCTCCAACTTCTGGCGATGAAGCTCCGGTCCTTGCACCCGAGGCGGCATATAGCCCATCCATCTCTCCTTCACCAACTTCGGGTTATGAAGCTCCAACCCCTGCACAGGCATCCCCAAGCCCATCGATCTCGCTTGTACCAGCTTCGAGTCCCGGAACGTTTGTGCCAGAAGCTTCGGGTCCGAGCCCATATGGTTCAAGAATGGCACCTGAAGCTTCTAGCCCGGGCTCGAGCCCAAGTAGTGCTCCAACACCCGCATTTGAGGATGCTATTAGCCCATCAATCTCTATGGCCCCTTCTTCTAGCCCAGACGCTCCAACATATGCACCTGAAAGTTCAAATATGAGCCCTGGGGCCGCGCCACTAACTCCAGAACCTTATAGCCCGTCAATATCTTGGCCGCCAACTTTGAGTCCTGAAACTGAAGGGTCAAGTCCGTTGAGCTCGCCTGCCCCAACACCTAATGCTGATGGGGCTCCGGCGTTCGCACCCGAAGGATCTAGCCCTTCTAGCTCTCCAAGCACTGGATCACCAAGTATGGCGCCAGAAGGTTTAAGCCCTACATACATATCCCCTACCCCATCATCAAGTCCTGTGGCTGAAACATTTGCACCAGAGACGGGTAGCCCCGAATCCATTTCTCTTGTCCCAGCTTCGAGTCCCGAGGCTGAAGCACGTGAAGCAGACAGCCCATCTTCGTCATCAACCCCTCCTGAGCCAGCGAAAGAGAAGATATCTCCAAGCCCTAGCATCGGACAAGCTCCAGAGCCTACAAAGGAGAAGGTGACTCCTAACTCCAGAGCTCCCACATCTACACCACCACAGTCGGGGAACGAAAAGCCAACCCCGAGCAATAAAACGCCCACCACGCACAAGACTCATAACAAGCCTTCTGCTCCTGTACCTCCATCCAAATCCACACCCACCAAAGCACCTCCTCATCATGTGAAAGAGGAACCCACTCCTCCACATTCCACCTCTCCTCTGCCCCATGCTCCAACTCACCATCATGAACCAACACCATCGACGACTACTAAGCCACCAGCAGCTTCACCGCCCAAATCTACCAAGTCCTCCCACTCTCCTCCTGATGTCCCAACCCATCATCATGAACCAACTCCCAAACAAACTCCACCACCCAAATCCACCAAGTCTCCCGCCTCCCCACCCCCTCCTCCCGCTCATGAACCAACCCCATCAAATGATAAATCAAAGTCACCACCCAAACCTGCCAAATCTCCCGCTTCTCCACCTCCTCATCATGAACCAACTCCATCAAATGATAAATCAACTTCACCACCCAAATCCACCAAGTCTCCTGCTTCTCCACCTCCTCCTCGTGAACATACTCCATCAAACGATAAATCAACACCCAAAACCGCCAAGTCTTCCACCTCTCCACCGCCTCCTCCTCATGAACCAACTCCATCAACTGGTAAATCAAGCTCACCACCCAAATCTGCCAAGTCCCCCGCCTCTCCTCCTCCACCACATCCCTCAACTCATAAATCAACACCATCAACTTCACCACCCAAATCCACCAAGCCTCCCACCTCTCCTCCTCCCCCTCCTCATGTCCCCACTCACAAACAGACACCATCAACCTCTAATAAACAATCACCCACTCAATTTTCTCCTCCCATGCATCCACCATCACCACCAGTTCAATCTCCCCCTCCACCTATCTTTGAGGACGTAGAACTTCCTCCTACATTGGGCTCCATATATGCTGCCCCACCACCACCAATCTTCCAAGGATATTAAGTGGCAACATTAATACCCCATTGATAAAAAAGAACTCATTGTGCGCATTAACGTTGTCTTAGTATACTACTCCAATTGAATAGAATTTGTACCTTCTTTTTTGGCTTTCAACAGAACACTACTCATGTAATTATATGAATCATTTTCTTCACAAGTACATGTATGGGCATTAACGTACTGTTGATTATACACACAGACACACATGTTAATATGTCACCTTCACTAACTGCAATACTGCATCAAGCTATTTGGATATGATTAAATTCTGTCCCCTTTACATTAAGAGGGAAATCGGGAATAAATAAAAAGTAAATGCACACCCAGTAAAAGAAGCCCCCTCGGGGGAGGGAGGAATTAGAGATTTAGAGCTATTGTTCAATTACAAAAGAGAAAGTATATGACATATGAAAGCACTACAACAATGTTGGTATGTGTACAGAGAAAATGCACATTACACAAACCACAAAAAACAAACACAGAGTTTTAGAAAAGGGGAGTCATGGAGACATGGAGTGCATGAGTTTGCCTTTAAATATATTCACACCCACTCACAGCTATATATATAGATGCACGTCTGTCACATTGCATAAACTATTTCTCCACTGCTATCAATGTCGATGTCAGAATCACTCCCCAGATCCTCATCATCATCCATGTCTAAGCTTCCAGTAAGATAATTGTTGAGGCTGTTAGTCCCGGCTGCTGGGATGGTAGCCTCTGTAATTATTTGCATTATTTCATCTATGCTCTGCATGGGTTGATCAGGCTCCTCGAACTGGTTGTTTGAGGTGTTGTCATCCATGAGGTCAGCAGGAAGGTTCCTCAGGAACCACTCATGATTCTTGATTTCGGGAATGGATATCCTCTGTTAAACGCAGCAAAAAATACCAAAAGTAAATAGTGCCTTAGCAATCTAGATACAGGATTCAAAACTGTATTTCATCTTATCATATACTATCGTATATCACGGTTGGATTGTCGCTACATCTATTTAAGAAAAATGCTAAAGACCTTCATTTACTATGAAAAGTATGAATTTACATATAAATATCCTTGCACGAACATATTTGTACCAACTATGGGGTGGGGAGCAGTGGTATTTTTTCATAGGCATTAGAGTAAAAACACAAGTTGGCGAATCATTTGATAATACACTATTCGCATTCCAAGTATGAATTTGATATTTTTTTCAGTTTAGTAAATTTAGACAGAATATAAGATTCCATTTGGTTCTTGGTTATATAATTTGGACCAAATTTCGAACTCAGTGAGAAAATACTGTTCTTAATTATAACGGAATATGCATGATGACTATTTGGGCAGATCTATCTAGAAGCTATGGTGGGCAGAAGCCCAGTTCAATCTAGTTTTTTAAGAATAGTCTTTCATTTTTCTGGGTTAGTCATCCCTGCTAATGCTTTAAACTTAGTATAATCAGTTTACAGTCCAGCCAAACCCTAATTTCTAGATCCAACCCTGGACTAAATAGAGTCTAAACTGAGAAGTCGAGTACTAGAATAAGTCCAAAAGAGATTTGAAGACCAAATCGAGTAATGGTGTATAGATGAGGGACTAAATCAGGTATTAAGTCTAGGGATGATATACACCAAGGGGGTAACATATGATGTCTATCCGTTACTCATGTATTTAAATGGGCACGGTGAATTAAGAATCTTTCCATCATTTGCAATGGAGCCAAAGACTCGCTATGTTTTGGCTTGGGAATATGATGGAATAAAGCAAAATGGCTCACTAAACCGTCTGCGCTTCTTTGTTATGAAGCAGCAGGCAATCTATGCAATTTTTGACGCGGTTTTCACTATGGGTCATCCGGAAACAGTCTTTGTGTACTTTAGTACAGGGGTAAGGCTGCCTACATCTGAACCCCCTTACCCCACCGTAGGTGGGAAGCCTTTGCGGCACTGGGGTAATGATGAAGAAGAAGAGGTGAATTAAGAATGAAATATTAAATACATGCGGCAGCAATCCAACAGTTCTGAGTATCAAATGGAATACAATTTGGGAATAGAGGATCGCATGTCTAATACTAGCATAAACAAAGCTTAATGAAACAACCTGGGTAGGATCAGCCACAAAGATCCTTGAGATCAGATGACGGCATTCTGGGGAGATGTGGACATAATCTGGTATTGAGTACTGAACATTCAATATTCGCTGCAGAAACAAACGTTTATATTTTTAAGTACAGAAATTCATACACTCACAACCGCGCAGGAACAATAAACTATAAGGATTAAGGAGCTTACCTGTATTGTCTTCCTGAAATTTTTAGGCTCATCAGGGTCCTCAAAAGGGTAAGCTCCAACTAGCATTACATACAAGGTTACCCCACAAGACCACACATCTGCAATCTGTAACAATAAACATTTTTCAAGAAAAATACATATCTTCTATACATAAACAATAGGCTTACAACAAAGTTATCATAAGATAAAATTTAATTTTATGGGTTTCACCTTGCCGTCATATTCTTTCTTGAGCAACACTTCTGGTGCAATGTACGCAGGAGTTCCAACAGTTGATTTTGGTTGTGAATGCAGCACCGAAGACTAAGAAATTGAACAAAGTTCACACATTGATCAGATATAAATGGTTGTGAACAAGGAAACGTAGGGAAATGTAAGATTTAATTTTTTTTAAATGAATTCTTGGAGACCTGTATACTTTTTGGTATTTCCTTAACAATTAGCATCCGTTAGAAACACGGAGTATACTAGGGGATAATACAGAGGAATATGGGGTTATTTGGAAGGAAAAGAAAAATTGTGGGGAAATATAAATTGGTTCAAACTCAACAAATCAATTTTAGAGATCTGCTCAAACTCACTTTATTTAAATATTTCTTTTAGAAATATATAAAAATCTAAATATATGTAAAATGCTAAAACTTTTAATTGAATTCGATTGTATTTTCCAATTAAAACCAATCATAAAATCAGTTTCCCAAGCACCCCCCCCCCCCCTATCTGTGTGTTATGCATGCATAAATGTTATGACGGAATGCTAACTACCATGCTGTAATCTAAAAGATAAAAAACATATCCCATATGGACTCAATGAGTTAATGGAACAGTCACCCACTACCTTTGAATACCCAAAATCGCATATCTTCAATCGTGGAGCTGGGCTTCCATCAAGTAATGTGTTTTCCAATTTCAAGTCTCGGTGGCACACTTGCTACATAACAAATTGCAGTTTTAGAACAATGCTACCTTTGTATAGATGAGTACTAATATCATAATTCTTAGGGAAAGCTCATTTGACGTACCATTGCATGACAGTAGCTGACACCTGATATTAGTTGCTGAAAGAAAAACCTTGCCTACAATTCAGATATCGCAAACACACTATTCAAAAAAATGTTCTTTCAAAGCAATAACCACGTGACAAGGCATATTATCATGCATTCACTAAAAACCTCGTCCTCACTGAATCGGCCAGCATTGCAAATCCGCTCAAACAGCTCCCCGCCTGATGCGTATTCCATTACAATAGCCAGATGGGTTGGTGTCAATATGATCTGTAGCAGAAGCTCACAAAGATAGCCATGTGATTAATCAAACATTAAAACTTAACTGTAGCTAAAACAGAAACAAACTTTGGTATAAACTTACCTCCTTGAATCTGACAATATTGGGGTGCCTTAATGATCTGTGGTTTATAATTTCCCTCTGCACATTTTCGTCAATCTACATAATCCAAGTAAAACAAAAGAATAATTATAGGCTAAAGAATACAATAAAATAAAATTAGCTGGTCTCATAAATAAAGAAGGTAAACCAGTCACAAATATCCGATGCTAATATATTGACAGAAATGATTGGCATAATTCTATCCAAAGATCTAAAGTTCTTTAAAAAAATCCTGATTTGAATACAATAAAGAACATTGTGCTTTAAACAATACAATTTCTATGTAGCGTTTTCATCAATCGGAAGAATTGTAAATCACTTCTTTTGTCAAACATCCATCCAATAAAAATTGAAAATGAAAAGCAACTTTAAGCTCCACAAATGCAGCGAAAAAGGGGTAAACACAATAGCAGAAGCAGTAACAAAAAACTATCCAAATGGGCATGTTGCATAGGCATGTAGATTTTATAAAATCAATACTGTACTGAGAAATGATTAAAAACCCTGTTAAGTCCATCACTGTCTCATAATATTTTTCACCCAAGTGGAAAAAACGATGAAAAAGAATTTAGAATATCATCCTACTATTCATAGAGAAGAATGATGCTTCAAGATGTCATTTGTCAGATGGTTGCTACAAGAAGGCAGTTTTTTTTTTTGCATGAATTACCTAATTGTAGACAGTTGGGTAAGGAGCTAAAGGAAAACTGTCGTTTTCCTCTCTCACTTCCCTAATGGTTTATTCACTTCAGAGGCTACTCTCGAGTGTAGGACCAGAAAGCTATAGAAAATCCACATCAACAGTTCAACACCCATGTAAAATAACACCAACCTCCTATACACACAATTAAAGCCTCCACTTTTACACGAATAATATAGTACGTTTCCCATTCAACCAAGTTTTAAGTTTTTACCTGCTGTAATTATCCAAAATTTCCCACACTACATTATGGCGGGAGGAATTTCAAGCCAAAGCTGAGTAACTAGAAGTCTAGAAGAACGGGAAAAGGATGACTAACCTTCTCACCTCTCTCGATATACTTAACAGCCACGAGCTCGTTAGTCTGCCGATCCCTCATGAGCCTAGCAACCCCGAAATTACCGGAACCTATGTCTCTGACGAGCTCATACCGGTCGCTATCGTGCATGATCGGAACATCCATCGCAGGTCCTACTGTCAGAGCCGCACGATCCATTTCCTTTGTTCAGCAACAAGCAAGCAATGGCATTATCATCAGCTACCTAGCTAAAACCCTCGACAGTCATCACCATCCCCGATCAAAACCCTAAAAAGACATAAATGCATCCAAAAGTGCAGAAAAATTGTGTATTTCAAGCAATTAAGTAGAAATCAAAGCTCACTGCAACGTGGAAAGGGCTAATCACAGGATTGACGGCGAACAGTTGGTTGAAGATGACAGGGGTAGAGCTAAAGCCCGTGAACTCTCAACAAACTTAATCAGCAAATTTCCAGCTAGGCCAACGGTTTTGAAGTCAATCTCTTCACTACATCATCATCACCTTTATAAGCAGTTATGGATATGGAAAGAGAGGAGGAGCTCGTGAAGTAAGCTTTCTTTGCTCTGCCTTTTTCCTTTCAGCCAACTCTTTCTTCTTTCTTTCCGCTTACTTCCAGATGATATTTTTTATTTAATTTAATACGGAGTAATAATTTGGGATATAGTCCAAAAATAGTAAGTTTATTAAATTATACTTAAGCGTGACATAATTAATGTCACATCTTTATTAGGAAAAATAGTTGAGCGACTCCTGTTTAAACTTTAAAGTAGTACTCCATTATTATACAGTTGCGGGCTTGCGGCATCTTAGTGAAATGTCATTATGGGTTATCGAGTTTGTGAAACAATTATAGTATTAGTCCAAATGTCACATTTTCAATCCTTTTATCATTTTTATTGATAATATAAATAATCACACAACTTGGAAAGTGTAGTGTACGTTTTATCTTTTGTTACATGTGGTTACATTAAATTCGAGAGCATATCATTTTTTTATTGTATTATCTACCGGTATAATTTTTGTTGAAGGTTAAATGTCAATATCTGAGATATGTTTTCACTTTGTAACCTCATTTTTAAAGTGTCACAATGATAACATCAAATCATAGAACATTTGACCCAACAACAAATCATTATGTAGTGTAGGAATAATGGTTGAAACTTGATAATCTCTTACCAAAACAAATAGAATCACACTCAATAATTATGCAATGGTTTTTAACATGAAAATAATCACATATGGATCCATGATTTTGATCCAGGGGGCAAAATCTTTGATTACAAAATGCAACATATTTTCCTAGCATGTTCAATTACAAAATATAGCATATTTCTCAGTCTTGACAAATTAAGATCTATCATATTACAATCAAAGAGGCATTCTAAAGTAGACTCTACAATTTTTTAAAAGATCAAAATCATCATTAAGAGAATCTGTCGGAAACCCCTCAAGCTATCTCTCTCTCTCTCTCTCTCTCTCTCTCTATATATATATATATATATATATATATATATATATATATATATATATATATATATATATATATATATATATATATATATATATATATATATATATATATATATATACACACTAGTTCGTTAACGCGCCATGCGCGTTCGTGTAAATGCCCAATGCTAATACAAGCATATTAATTAATTAACAAATTAATGGACGAAAATACTATCATTATGATATTAGAAATGTAATTTTATTACACCTTGGATCCATAAACCAAAGAAAAATCAAATATGGATTCACTCAAGTGAGTCGAGGTGTTCCCCTTTATTGTTTCGTGACAGATTTATCTGATTCAAATGCCCCCCCAACCAATATAATTTCTGGATCTGCCACTGTTTCATGCGGTGATGCAAGGAATTCTATTGAAATGTGCCATTAAAATAAAAGTTAAATAAAATTATATATAATATGTATTCATCACTTCATATTTTTCATAAGATTTATAAGTCTTTAACATAAGGGGACAACTTCTACACAAAGACTAATAGTAAAGGAAAATAAAGATGCCCAAAAAATGGTTTAATGAGTCATCACCGGTTGCAACGCAAATGTTGGCAGATAACAAAGAGTTAGGGAATGGTTGTAGGGTAAATTCTGTCTAAGCTGCAAAAGATGGATTTCACTTTATTCTTTATCTTTTAAGGTTTGCATTCATGCCTTTTTAGCTTACTGGAGTTGGGTCTATGTTTGTTTGAAATAATGTGTAAATTTTCTACTTTTCACATTTCATTTGTTATAGGGCAAGAGTTTTTGCATGTGGTGCAAATGTTGACAGAACTATTACAATATATAAACTATTTATTGAAATCTGCATTTTCAAAAATCTGCACTTAGCTTTTCAAAAATCTGCACTTAGGTTTTTAAAATTCTGCACTTAGCTTTTCAAAATTATGCACTTAGCTTTTAAAAATTCTGCACTTAGCTCTTCAAAAATCTGCACTTGGCTTTTCAAAATTCTGCACTTAGCCTTTCAAAAATCTGCACGTAACCTTTCAAAAATCTGCACTTTTATTTGAAGTAGAAGATAAACACCAGGCTGATCATAGTATTACAATATACAAATTGTTATTTGAACTCTGCACTTTCAAAATTCTGCACTTTAGGCTTTCAAAAATCTGCACCCAACCAACCTCTCAAAACCAGTGATGAATGTAAATTCAGCTTATAGAAGAAGATGACATTGAACATAAGTACCATGAGGGTAAAAACAACTCAAAACAAACATTTGGATGGGGCTCAAAAAGGGCAGAACATGACACATTGAGGAAAAATTTCCTGATTACAGAATACAAAGTGTTTCTTCAACAACACACACCTAATTATAACATCCCATTACAACTACTAAATGCTTTTCTCTACTTCTAGGCTTCCATTTTCATTAAATGGACAATACATCTACAACATAATAAATTCACGGTTAACAACAATTAATATTACAGCCAAGAACATCTACCACATCTCACTCTTTCAATATAAAGACGATTGCCAACAGACATACGGTACGGTAATTGTCCAAATGGAAAGAGCTGAGGTACAGTTGGTTACTTGGTTTTCAATTGTATATCAATTAAATTACATTCTTTAACGTGATCATCATTATCATTAATAGAAACGAAAACAGTAACGTACACTATGGGGAGAAGGTGAAGGAGACACAAGGGAACATAACTGAGGAACACAAGTGTCACCTTCAACGAACTTAACTCAACCTGGTGAAATGGGTAGAATGAATGATAACGGAAGGGAGACATCGAAGAGGATTGAGATGCTGAGGATTTACTAAAGGTGACGATAGACGTTTCTTAATGGGGATACAAATAAGGGAGGGTACAATCAGAGATAATATATGTGTATAAAGCGGTGATGTTACACAAAGAAATTTTGAATACCTAAAGTAACCTTACCTTCATTCATCTTTATAATTTTGTAAAGATGAAGGTAAACATTGTACTCTTCAAAAAAATGTAGCAATAAAAAAGAAGGATACATTCTTTCATGAATTTTGTAGTTTTAAATAATACTACTCCGTGTACGAAAAAGCAATGAAATTGAAATAATAAATGCACTTACAAAGGTACGTTTAGCAGCTACAGTTTAGAGGACTAAAAAGAGAGCTAAGCATCTTATAGTGGTATTCTATGGAAAAATAAAACTACTAACCACCACAATTGAAAATAAGGCCAAGAAACTTCAAAATATTTGATTTATGTTCATCTCTTCATTCCATCAGGTGTTATTTTTTCTATTTCATTCAAACAATTGGAGAAGGCCTAGAGAAGTTCATTAATCTGCAGCAAAATCCTTCTGTTATCAGTTATTTATCACTCTTTGATCCGAATAAGTCATATTAAGTTGATTACAAATAAATGCAGGGCCCCGAGTTCAACTCCCAATATTTTCTTTGTCTAAGTTTAAGTTTTATTTATAATAACCAATAACTAATATAGCTAATAACAAAAAGAGGTCATAACAAAATTTAAAATGAGAAAGTTCATATTAATTCTATATTGGTAGGAATTCAATATTAAAGTAGTTCAATTATTGGTTGAAATTCAAAATGCATGCACTTTGTGCAGGCAGCTAATTGGATATCATCATATCAAGTTATCAACACAGAGAACTCATATACGTTATTAATAAATGTGACTTATTAGTCTTAGTAATGACGTCAAGTAATTAAATTGAGAATTTTCACTTAAATGAAATTAAAATCTCATAAAAAGAGGATATATCCTAAAGGAAATTGCATGGTTGTATAAGACGAATGCAATAATATTGTAAAATCAACATTTATGCAAAGTTATACATAATGTACAAATTTGAGAATGGTGAATAACTTACTCTACAAGAGGAGCAAATATACTATCAAATAGACTTGAGAAGATTTTTCAATAATAACAATAATATCAATTAGTAGGTCATTTTTCTAAATATTTATTTAATAATGTTTTATCAAGTAGCATTATAGTTCTTAAGGAACTAATACCTAAAATAAGTTAGTAAATGGCTGAATCATTGGCACAACAAAAACTATTTACAGGGTTAACAACCTAACAATATTGCATGTTTGGAAAAACAACATAATTACTAAAAACAACAAATTAACATATATATTGATTTGTGCAGCCATAATTTGTCCCTCATACTCATGGATCCATAAGCAAATGTTTTTAAATCTTTAAGGCTTAAGGTTAGTATTCATTAAGGTGAAAAAGGAAACATAACAACTTGTGAGGTGGGAGTTCATGAAGCATAATGGCAGTAAGATGTGGAAAGCATAAAGGAAAAAAGTGCAAAAATAGATAAAATCAGGTGAAAAGAGGACAAATCTTATAGTTCGCTTAAGATATATACACAATTCATATAGGTTAACGAAAGTTAGCTTAGTATGCTATGTAACATGGGAAATATAGGTTTAATGAAATCAAACAGGTGAAAAGAGCACAAATCTAATAGATAGAATTGATAATAAGAAAGGAATAATGACCTTAACTGTAAGATAGATGGAGAGACTGCAGCAAAAGTAGTAGCAATAGAAGACATTCAATGTAATGTACACCCTTGTATTGGAATAGATTACACCAACAAATATTTTCTACCTAAAATGTCTCTGCCCCTATTTGCTCTTATAAGATTTTAAGATAATCAACAACACAAAACAGGGTTGAGAGGTTAATATGATGGAATTCTCATTCATCACACTCAGTCCAATATAAATATATCTAACAAAAAAACTAATGATTGATTTCATTTGTTTACCTTGGCTTCTCTTGATGATAACTCCAAATTTCCAGCATCTATGATGAAATTGGAAAGAAATCCGACATTCTAAAAACATAACTTTAGTAGGTCAATAGTTTGACACTTTCATAGTGAAAAATAATTTATCGAGTGTTATAAAACCAATTTTATCACTCTGTATAATTTATTGCACGCAGCAATACTGAAATCAGGTTATATAGTGTAAACCAGTTGAATAAACTTACGAGAGTAGAGGATAGAAGAAGTGAAAGTCTGTATTAACACCTACATCGAATGATTTATATTCGACAATCCATTTACCTTCGATCGACTAAACTGATGTTTACAAGCCATTACTATGGAACATGAGAAATG